AATCATCCAATTTATTTTCAAAGGATTGAACGTTGGCAAAGGATTGATTGATGGAAGAGGCAGTTTACTCGCTCGCCGTCGGATCCTTACAAGGCACCCCGATCTACGTCCCCGATATCTCCGTCTCAGGTGTGGAGATGGAGGGAGATTGCATTTCAGCCGTGCGTAATTGGCCGACTCCAACCACGGTTAAGGAGGTGCAGCACTTTATTGGCGTCGCCAACTACTATCTGAGGTTTATCCAGGGCTTTGGCAAGGTCGCAGCTCCCATTACGTCTCTGTTGAAGGGTGGGCCGTCCTGGCTCCACTGGTCTGATGAGGCTGACAGGGCCTTCAGTAACCTGAGGGGTCTGCTCACCTCAGCCCCGGTACTGGCGCACCCCGATCCATCACTACCGTTCGTAGTGGAGGTGGATGCGTCCGAGGTAGGGATAGGCGCTGTCCTATCTCAACGCTCGGGCACGCCACCCAAGCTCCGCCCCTGTGCCTTCTTTACATTTTACATTACATTTTAGTCATTTAGCAGACGCTCTTATCCAGAGCGACTTACAGTTAGTGAGTGCATACATTATTTTTTTATTTTTTTCATACTGCCCCCCCGTGGGAATCGAACCCACAACCCTGGCATTGCAAACGCCATGCTCTACTAACTGAGCTACAACCCTGCCGGCCATTCCCTCCCCTACCTTGGACGACGCTGGGCTAATTGTGCGCCGCCCCATGGGTCTCCCGGTAGCGGCCGGCTACGACAGAGCCTGGATTCGAACCAGGATCTCTAGTGGCACAGCTAGCACTGCGATGCAGTGCCTTAGACCACTGCGCTTCTCTAAGAAGCTCAGCCCGGTGGAGCAGAACTATAACGTTGGTGATCGGGAGCTGTTGGCTGTTGTCCGAGCCCTGACCGTGTGGAGGCATTGGCTCGAAGGGGCGAAACACCCTTTCCTCGTCTGGACGGACCACCGTAACCTGGAGTACATCCGGGCAGCGAGGAGGCTGAATCCTCACCAGGCCAGGTGGGCCCTATTCTTCATCCGGTTTGATTTCACACTATCATACATCCCGGGTACGAAGAACGTGAAGGCAGACACATTGTCACGGCTGTATGACACAGAGGAGAGGCTGGTAGTATGGGCGATGGACGCGGATATAGAGCAGGCGTTACGCACAGAGCCATCTCAACCTCAGTGTCCATCTGGGCTGCAGTACGTGCCTGCTCTTATCCGTGACCGTCTGATCTACTGGTCACACACGTCACCCTCCTCTGGTCACCCAGGTATCGATCGTACAGTGCGTTGCCTGACCGGAAAGTACTGGTGGCCTACATTGGCTAAGGACGTGAGGGTGTATGTCTCCTCCTGCTCGGTGTGCGCCCAGAGTAAGGCACCTAGGCACCTCCCAGCGGGTAAGTTACAACCTTTACCAGTTCCACAACGACCATGGTCTCAGCTGAGTGTTGATTTCCTTACCGATCTTCCCCTCTCCCAAGGTAACACCACCATCCTGGTCGTTGTGGACCACTTTTCCAAGGCCTGCCGCCTCCTTCCTCTGCCCGGTCTCCCCACGGCCCTGCAAACTGCGGAGGTCCTGTTTACACACGTCTTCCGGCACTATGGGACGCTGCCCACGTCCACCTCCAACGTGCCGTGCATCATCAGAAGGCCAACGCTGACCGCCACCGCAGTGAGGCCCCGGTCTTCGTACCGGGTGATCGGGTCTGGCTCTCGACCCAGAATCTGCCTGTCCGCCTGCCCTGCCAGAAGCTGAGCCCACGGTTTGTGGGGCCATTCAAAGTCCTGAGGAGAATCAACGAGGTTACCTATAGGTTATTACTCCCCCATGATTACCGTATTAACCCCTCGTTTCATGTGTCTCTCCTCAGGCCGGTGGTGGCTGTTCCGCTCCAGGAGACTTAGGTGCGGGAGGTCCCTCCGCCTCCTCTGGACATCGAGGGGGGCCCGGCGTACTCCGTCCGTTCCATCCTGGATTCGAGGCGTCGGGTGGGGGGCCTTCAGTACCTCGTGGAGTGGGAGGGGTACGATCCGGAAGAACAGTGCTGGGACCCGGCGAGGGATATCCTCGATCCCTCCCTGTTGCGGGATTTCCACCGTCGCCATCCGGGTCGCCCTGCTCCGCATCCTCCTGGCTGCTGGAACTGCGCGTCCAGGGGGGGGGAGATACTGTCACGACTTCCTCCGAAGCTGCCTCCCCTCCTTGTTCGGGCAGGCTTTGGAGTTCGTTGTCACTGGCCTTCTAGCCACTGCCGCTCCATATCTCATCATTCCATTTGTCTTGTCTTGTCAATTACACACACCTGGTTCATATTCTCCTCATTAGTACGTGTTTAAGTGTTCCCTCTGCCCCTTTGTCCTTGTGGGTGATTGTTCATTGTGAGGATTAGTAGCTCGGTTGAGCTCAGTATTTTGTATTGCCGGGGTATTTTTCCCTGTGCGCCTGTTTTGCGCACTGGACTGGTTACGCTGGATTATGGAGTAAACTCTGTATACTGTGATTTACCCTCCTGCGCCTGACTCCTTCAAATCACACATCACAGCGTGATCAAGCACTGGCATGGAGGTGTGTGTGTGTGTGTGTGTGTGTGTGTGTGTGTGTGTGAGAGAGAGGGAGAGAGTGTGTGTGTGGAGGTGCACCTCTGTCATTGTGTTCAATGTGTAGCTGTAGAATGTGTGCATAATATGCTAAATGCATTTCACACATCTATTAACACATCAGCAGGGTACAGTAATGGTAGCGTAATCCCCCAGACACACACCACGGTCTCCAGCGGCCCAAACCAACCTCAACCCATCACAACACCTGCAAACAAACAGCATACAGGCCAACTATTCTACAACCATCTGTTACCTATACAGCGCACATAGACCGATGTGATCTCATATTCAATATGATGAACTTGTAGTACAGTTGGATTTGAATGTCTTCATAGTTCTCTTACCGTTTCTATATTTAGAACAGTGCATGCTTCAATCTAAACTGAAAACAGAAGGTTGCGTTTGGCCTGTCAAACGACGGAAATGGGTTTAACTGTCTCTAACCACAAGACTTTTACATCTCATCGTGACTATTCAAACCATAGACTGTATAAATCAATATAACATTTCAAACCATATCAATTGTTGTTTTGAATTTGCAATAAATCCTTAACTAGCTTTGTTGCATTATTCCATATAATTCATTTCGGTTTCACTTTACAGTAAATTGAAATGAGAACGGAAATACAATAGCCTACAGACGAAAAATAAAGTTCAATTATTATTTTTTTTACAAAAGAGTATACTATATTTCAAGTAAAACAAAGAAAAACTAAAACCTAAAACAAATGTTATTTCTTGACTATCGTATAAACTTGATTGAATAGATAGCCTAATGTATCTCTTCTCACCTGAAAAGCGCATCGAAGCAGTGACCAGACGTTGGAAAGTTTTTCCTTGTCGCGGAGGACTGTAGGCATGTTTGGTCACTGGTCATCTCCTCGGTCCATCTCACAGAAGACGCACCGTGCGAGCACAAATCGGTACAAATGCCAAACATCCCGTTCTACCGCCTGAGAGCGAGCAGCGTCACCAGCTCAACTGGAGAGTCACGGAGTCGGTGTCGTCTTGGGAGCGAGCGTGTGATGTGCGTGGGCGTACCGGCGGATTCGAATGACAGAGCCGACGTGACGCATCGGTTATAGGTTCAGACACGAAGTTCAAACATCGGCGGGGAGCGCAGCTATCTATATAAGACACTACACACCTATACACACTCACACCAATGACCCACACGCACAAACGGAAACAATGTGGCACACGCTCCTTCCAGCGCGTTTTTGAACGGAAGCACAGTGCATCGCACAATCTCACCATGCACCCAGTGTACAATCTCTGAAAAGTGAAGGGGTTCACTTGCTGTTGAATTATTGTTGTTTCACCCTCTCCGCATCCTACCAGTGAATGCCTTTGTGATCTATCATTACCGCTAATGCACTCTGCTGTGGTCTGGACTGGGACGCAGCGGGTCTGTGTTGTGTAGAGTTTGTGTTGTCCTAATGAAATATGACTCATGTTCCTGCCCCAGATGCCGCCGGCGGAGAGCGCGCGTGAGAGAGAGAGAGAGCGAGAGCGAGAGAGCGATATGGAGGAGCGGGTTTAAATGGAGATGGATTAACAACCCTTGTGAAAAAATCAATTGAATTGTACATGTGATCACATGTGTTTCACATGTGAGAGTTCCACATGTGACAGTTAGATTTGAAAGTGCAAAATCGATTTTCACATGTAAAAGTTTTTCACGTGAAAGTCTTTCATAAGAGTATGGGGTGGGGCGGGGGCTGCAAGGAAATAGAGGAGATATGAGACTGAGGAAGGAGAGAGAGAGAGAAAAATGGGAAATGTGATTATTTTTCACAATAGTTTTATCTCTCAGGAGAAGTGGAGGGCATAAACCAGTTAGTTTCTGGCAGATCAAGCGATTGAGTATCTCAGCAGCTTTACTAACTTTTAAAAGGTGAAATACAGTAGTTAGTCTACATGTGCTATTTTCTCATTGAGCCCAAACCTCTTGCAGGAGAGGAGACCCTGGAGAAAAACGTTTGGGTGTTTCTGATGTTGGTACAATGGTAGAAATATCGATCACATTCTAGTTTTGGGCATGGTACCGCTATATATGGTTCAATATTAGAGATTAGAATTTAGGCAACATGCAATATCATGGACATAAACTGGCTGAATCAATACTGTTTCCATTTTTATTGGATTTGCACGCAAAAAAATCACATTTAATTTACGTTAGTTGACAATTTATCAAACATCAATCAAACTGATAGCCATTGATGACACACATAGCAGACGCTCCAAAGCCATTATTGCGCAATCAGAGCGCACTGCCTGGCCTGCGCTTGTCCAGGACAAAAACAAACAGTAGGATAGTGTAACGCACCACCTATCAACGTTTTTAAGCATAACCATATTGACAAAATTAATTTGGTTTGTTTTTCAGCCATGCAGCGAAAATCTCGGAGGAAGGAAGAACAGGTAGGCTAGCCTAAACAATGCTGTAAGGAGCTAGGCTATAATATAGGCCAATAAGATAATCAGATGATACAATTCGATACTAATTTCCTGCTAGGTTAAAATGGCTTTTAGAAATATGATTGGAATTAGTAAAATACAGTATATTATGGGCATTTTTAAGCCATGACTATAGATATTTGTGAGAGGGATTCCTGTAATATAGCCTACAACTTGCCCTAATGCAGGGCAAAGTGATGGACACTGAACAGCCACCTGTAAGTCTGAACAAGTTAAAGTATGACTCATTACATTCAAAGTAAAAGTAATAACTACTACAACATGCATTGTAAAATAGTTTGTTGGTAGACTATATTGATAAACACCAGGACATTGTAGGCCTACTGACATTTCATTTGATTGTCACTTCAATGAGAGAATGGAGAATAAGTGCAATTACATATAGCTAAATAAAGTATTTTATTTTAGGACCATGTTACCATGTTAGGACAATAGACAGAACAATGTCTGAACTTGATATCTATTAGAGCAGCACAGTGCACAGCCAGGCTGAGTAAAACCTTCAGTATCTGCAACCAAGGACAGAAAGCTATTAACTACTGAACAGTGTCTGTCTCGACAGGTGTCTAAGGTTGTGTGGGTTAAAGACGCCCCCCTGGCCAAGGCAGTGGGGAGGACAGAGCAGGCTGCTTCTGATGCTACTCCAACGGCTGAAAAGAAATCAAGGTTTGAGCGTCTGAAGGAAAGGATGGAAGAAGAGAGGAAAGTTGAGCATGAGCATTTGATGAGAAAAATTCAGGAGTTGGAGATTATTAGAGATGCCCCCCTGGCCAAGGCAGTGGTGAGGAGAGAGCAGGCTGCTTCTGATGTTACTCCAACGGCTGAAAAAAAGTCAAGGTTTGAGCGTCTGAAGGAAAAGTTGGAAGGAGAGAGGAGAGCTGAGCATGAGCACCTGATAAAAAACATTCAGGAGTTGGAGATGAGCGTAAAGTGGGAGCAGAATAAATATGCAGTCCAAGAGAAAGCTCTAAAGGAGATGGCCAGAGGGAATGAGAGGGCAGAGGCAGAAAAAGCTGCCCTCCAGGAGATAATTCAGAGACTGGTGAAGAAACAGGTGCGGACAGAGGAAGCCTGGGGGAAAAAGCAGGAAGACTGGACCAAGGCCAAAGCCATGTTTTCAGACCAGTGGTCAAAACTGGAGAAGCTTTGGAAGAGGGAGAAATCTGCTCTAATAGATAATGCAGAGAGCTTTAAAAAGATCATCAAGGATCTCCAGTGTGCCTCGAAAACAACAGAGGCAGAGATCAAGATGGCAGAGACAGAGAAAACTGCACTCCAGGAGATCATGCAGAGACTGGTGGTGAAAATTGTCCAGACCGAGAAAGCCTGGGGAAATGAGCAGAGAGACTGGGCCAAGGACAAGGCCAGGTTATCAGACCAGATGCAGATGATGGAGATTGCTTGGAGCTTAAGAGAAGATGGATGGGCCAAACTGATGCAACACATGGAAGCGGAGATAGCCCAGAAGAAGATTCTGCAGGAAAAAGAGGCACAGGTAGATTAGGCTGTGCATATTTTATTTATTTTAATAATTAGAAGGATAATGCAGAATCGTTGGTTTGGTAAAGAATAGCCTAAGCCAAATTATTAATGTAGAGGTTGAAGAGTGAAAATACTGTGTCCCTTTTCCAGGTGCACAGCAAAAGTGCATGCCACATTGGAATAAGAGGCTACTTGAAGAATATAACCAAAAAGAGGAGGGAGAAAAAGGAGAGGGCGAAGGAAGACAAATATGGCCCCTAAAGAAGAAAGTAGTCAGGAGGGATTATACATATCCCTGATTAAGGTGTATTGCACAAAAATGTTTAATTGAGATTTTCTATTTAATTTAATTTAATAAACAACATTAGTAAGGCAATTTGAGTTCATGGTGGTTTATTATTCCTTGAGGTATTTTCCTTCTACAGTATAAGTGTTGCTTCTGATGGCGAACTGTCCTGCTCAGCCATTGAAACAGACAGACAGACAGGTGCCACTGATCACGACTATAAACTAATAACAACTAACCTATGTCAGAAACATAGATACTGTATTTGCTTATTCCTCTCTCATTCATTTTAGTATTTTCACTCAGATGTTCACTCAGTGAGAATTACAAGAGGTTGGTGGCAGCTTAATTGGGGAGGATGGGCTCATGGTAGTGGATGGAGCAGAATAAGTGGAATGGTATCAAATACATCAAACACATGGTTTCCATGTGTTTGATGCCATTCCATTCGCTCCGTTCCAGACATTATTATGAGGCATCCTCCCCTCAGCAGCCTCCACTGGAATATTACAAAGGCAGTCATGAACTGCAATTGCAAAGGGACTCAACATTACATAAAAGCATTGTTGAGGAAATTATGACACTTGGAAAAAAACAGAATCGACTGAACAATCTGGTTAAATCAGAACAAATGCATGTGTAAGAAACATACATATGTGTATAGTATAGTATATATGTATATAGTTAGTTTTTATAGTATAGTATAGTAGTATAGTAGTACAGTATAGTAATATAGTAGTATAATAGTATAGTATAGTAGTATAGTAGTATAGTATAGTATAGTATAGTATAGTATAGTATAGTAGTATATTATAACATAATACAAAAAAAAAATTTGTATAGAAATACATATACTATTTGCTTATAACCAGTGGTTAAAGGGAAACTCCTGCTCTACACTGGGCAGGAAGCCAGTAGCTTCACAGGGATGTGTCTTGCCTCTCCTGGTTGAATGTGGTTGAGTTTTGGTTGAACCCCTCAGAGACCACACTACTAATATACCTATGGTGACCTGTTTACGGTTATCAGACCATGGGCAGGCCCTGGTGTTTGTGTGTGTGTGGTGTGGTGTTGTATGTGTGTCTGTGTGTGTCTCTGTGTGTGTGTGTGTGTGTGTGTGTGTGTGTGTGTGTGTGTGTGTGTGTGCACGTATGTCTGTTTGTGGTCCAGGTGTGGCTTCTCTGTTCCCTGTGAGGATGGAGGATGACAGAGAGGTCAAATAGACCCTTTCACTGGGTGAGTTATAGCGCTGTGGGAAAGAGGAGGAGGCGGCAGTGTGTGTGTGCGTGCATGCATATTTGTGTGTGTGTGTGTGTGTATGTGTTTATTTATGTGTGCATGTGTGTGTGTACGTGCGTGTGTGTGTGCATATATGTGTGTGCTGTAGTTTATGGTTAAGAGGGAGGAGAGGTTACGTTATAAGACACATCTGGACACACTAACTGTGTAGAGCAGTCTGAACTCCTACGATTAGAGTGACAGGAGAGAGAGGAGTAACAGTGGGGGAGAGTGAGAAACATTTTGGAACTTAGAAGAGAGAGTGAAGGTCAGAGGAGTGTGTACACCTGCTGTTGATCTGTTTGACTCTGGCCTTGTCTTGTCCCCACAATACTTTTAGTTCTCCGAACAGGACTAGCGATACATTTTCTTCTGTGTGCTTGTGTGTCGGTGTACACGCACGTGTGTGTGTGTCTGTGTGTGTGTGTGTATGTGTATGTGCTATTATGTGTATATATCAGAGGCTCATATTGTGAGTTATTAAGTTATCTCTCCAACACAATAGCAATGAAGCACAGGCAACTGTCTGCATTATGTTAAATCATGTGGAAGTTGGTCATAAAATAATAACAGAAATCAATAAAGAGCTGTTTACATATTCTTCTTCTAGCAGAGAGGTGAGATGGAGAGGGGGAGATTGGTTTTATGAGAAATGTGTCACCCTTAAGCTCAGAGACTCACCCCAAAACGCTCTCTCTCTCCTTGTCTCTCTCTCTCTCTCTCTCTCTCTCTCTCTCTCTCTCTCTCTCTCTCTCTCTCTCTCCTTGTCTCTCTCTTTCTCTCTCTCACACACACTTGCTCTCTCTTTCTCTCTCTCTCACACACACACACACACACACACACACACTTGCGCCGTGACAGGATCATTAGTAACAGGCCGTATGGTGTTTCCGTGTGTGACATGATAATAGCTCATATTTATGTTGCTGAGTGTCTGTTCTTTCCTCCTGGTCTGCCCAAAGCAGGTGTTCCAGATGTTACTGAAGCTCTTCTCTCAGCTCTCTTTTTTTTCTCTCTCTCTCTCTCTCTCTCTCTCTCTCTCTCTCTCTCTCTCTCTCTCTCTCTCTCTCTCTCTGTTCTGTCTGTTTCCTCTGGTACTAATGAGACCTGTCTGTGGACTTCCCCTGATCTGAATTCTGCTGCTCCTTTATGACCTGACCATAAACACACACACTCTCTTTCTCTCGCTCTCGCTCTCTCTCTCTCTCTCTCTCTCTCTCTCTCTCACGCACGCACGCACACACACACACACACACACACACACACACACACTGTCATGAGACCTGAATGTTTCCCTTCCCTCCCATCCTCATACAGGAGCTTTAATAACATGTTATACCACTGGAATACTTCCAATGTTCAAATTCAGGGAAGTTAATAAAAAAAATATCAAATACAAAAATTATTATGGCACGTTTCTTTAGAGAGAGCTCATGAAAACTGTGTGGAAAATTTGATAGGCAAAGAAGAAATGACTGAAGTGGAGGAAAGGGAGTGAGAAAGACAAGGAGGGAAAGGAAGAGAGGATGTTAGAGAGATGTAAATATAGAGAGAGAGACCTGGGGCAGTGTCCACAGTAACAGGCTGGTGGTGACAGGACCTTAGAGGCTCTGGTGTGTCCCTCAAAAATGCCTGTTTAGACACCACGATAAACACCTGGGCCTCAGGAGTCCAACCTCCTAACCACACACACACACACACACACACACACACAGTGCTCCAGAGAGATCTACAGACTATGACAGCTTCCAGCGGTATCCATGGAGACCCTCAGGGATTCCAGATTCCTCCAGGTAGGTGATCAGTCATGAGCGATAGAGAAAGATAGAGTGTGAGAGAGAGAGTGCAAGAGAGAGAGAGAGAGAGAGAGAGAGAGAGAGAGAGTAGCTGTTGTGCTGTATAACCTGCATCAAGAACAGATACAGTATTTCAGTGATAACCTAATTTATCAAGATTGGTATAACCCTTCAGTCATCATTTAGATCACCTAAGGACCATATCTGTTTAATGGCATTAGGCCTGACCACTATGTTAACTATTGTAAGTGGATTATTGTAGGATTACTGTCTTAAGGGGCATTACCTGATAGGGGTTATTAGTGTGATCAGTTACTGTGTCTGTAGTTACAGGTTGGGTTCCGTTTACACATTGCCATGAGTGTGTTTGTTTGAAATAGCATGCTGTATAACCTACACTCTGACACTGGTGGGATGATTGGTAACACAGCTCGAGTTTGGTCTCACTGTATGCTACATGGTAGAGGGAGGACACTTGCATGCTCTATGCGCACAGAGAGGCTAAGGAGCACCACCATGTGGACAATATGTTGAACTGAAGGAGAGTCCAACCACTGCTCTCCAACTAGGCTAGTGGGATAGGAGATTCTGACAATGGCTTTAGTTTAGTAGGTACAATGAGCCATTCAGAATACATTTATTCATTGTTAATTCACCGATATTAATAGTCTTCATGGGGAATGATTTTGTAAATCGTTAAAATGGTCCCGTGTTAAAGGGTCACAACTTGGACACTGCTGGTTACTTCCATGGGGACATGAGTCCAGTCTAACTATTCATCCTCCATCAGAAACCGAAGATAAGACTTGCCTAAAAGCATCAGTCCAGTTGCAGGCTACATACATTGTAAGCTATCTACGTTGCTTTCTCCTTCCCTCTCCAAAACAAATATACAGTGTGATGAAGGGATTATGCAGCTCCTATGCAAAGCCATGCAGAGCTACAGTGGGGAAAAAAAGTATTTAGTCAGCCACCAATTGTGCAAGTTCTCCCACTTAAAAAGATGAGAGAGGCCTGTAATTTTCATCATAGGTACACGTCAACTATGACAGACAAAATGAGAATTTTTTTTCCAGAAAATCACATTGTAGGATTTTTAATGAATTTATTTGCAAATTATGGTGGAAAATATGTATTTGGTCAATAACAAAAGTTTCTCAATACTTTGTTATATACCCTTTGTTGGCAATGACACAGGTAAAATGTTTTCTGTAAGTCTTCACAAGGTTTTCACACACTGTTGCTGGTATTTTAGCCCATTCCTCCATGCAGATCTCCTCTAGAGCAGTGATGTTTTGGGGCTGTTGCTGGTAAACACGGACTTTCAACTCCCTCCAAAGATTTTCTATGGGGTTGAGATCTGGAGACTGGCTAGGCCACTCCAGGACCTTGAAATGCTTCTTACGAAGCCACTCCTTCATTGCCCGGGCGGTGTGTTTGGGATCATTGTCATGCTGAAAGACCCAGCCACGTTTCATCTTCAATGCCCTTGCTGATGGAAGGAGGTTTTCACTCAAAATCTCACGATACATGGCCCCATTCATTCTTTCCTTTACACGGATCAGTCGTCCTGGTCCCTTTGCAGAAAAACAGCCCCAAAGCATGATGTTTCCACCCCCATGCTTCACAGTAGGTATGGTGTTCTTTGAATGCAACTCAGCATTCTTTGTCCTCCAAACACGACGAGTTGAGTTTTTACCAAAAAGTTCTATTTTGGTTTCATCTGACCATATGACATTCTCCCAATCCTCTTCTGGATCATCCAAATGCACTCTAGCAAACTTCAGACGGGCCTGGACATGTACTGGCTTAAGCAGGGGGACATGTCTGGCACTGCAGGATTTGAGTCCCTGGCGGCGTAGTGTGTTACTGATGGTAGGCTTTGTTACTTTGGTCCCAGCTCTCTGCAGGTCATTCACTAGGTCCCCCCGTGTGGTTCTGGGATTTTTGCTCACCGTTCTTGTGATCATTTTGACCCCACGGGGTGAGATCTTGCGTGGAGCCCCAGATCGCGGGAGATTATCAGTGGTCTTGTATGTCTTCCATTTCCTAATAATTGCTCCCACAGTTGATTTCTTCAAACCAAGCTGCTTACCTATTGCAGATTCAGTCTTCCCAGCCTGGTGCAGGTCTACAATTTTGTTTCTGGTGTCCTTTGACAGCTCTTTGGTCTTGGCCATAGTGGAGTTTGGAGTGTGACTGTTTGAGGTTGTGGACAGGTGTCTTTTATACTGATAACAAGTTCAAACAGGTGCCATTAATACAGGTAACAAGTGGAGGACAGAGGAGCCTCTTAAAGAAGAAGTTACAGGTCTGTGAGAGCCAGAAATCTTGCTTGTTTGTAGGTGACCAAATACTTATTTTCCACCATAATTTGCAAATAAATTCATAAAAAATCCTACAATGTGATTTTCTGGATTTTTTCCCCTCAATTTGTCTGTCATAGTTGACGTGTACCTATAATGAAAATTACAGGCCTCTCTCATCTTTTAAGTGGGAGAACTTGCACAATTGGTGGCTGACTAAATAATTTTTCCCCCCACTGTATTCCGACAAAAAATTCCCCGCCAACAACTCGTTGGACTAGCTTCTGTCCTTGTTGCTGTGATGTCATCTGCTGTCGGATGAGTGGCTGGGCTGGCGGCAGCGATGCGCATATGCAGTCTGCTGCTCGAACGCATCACAGTGAACTGCATCTGACAGCTCGCCAGGTTGGAGCAGAAAAAAAACACCACACACAAGAGAGCAAAGCCGACCCGTGGAACAGACCCGACCCGTGGAACAGACCCTCTGTATTTTCACAAACCGAGCATCATCTATATCCACCCCGTAGAGAAAATAAAGAAAAGGAAGGAGGGATCTTTCGCGTTTGCCGCCCCCCCTCAAAGCTCGCATGTATGAAAGGATAATGTTTTTGTTTTAACGCACCAGATGATTGTGTACCGGGGTAGCTATTGAAATACGCAAAAACCTGCCGCTTCGTTGGATATTCCTCCGAGACTGAGGCCATGAATTCCGCGGAGCAGACGGTCACTTGGCTGATCACACTCGGGGTGCTGGAGTCGCCGAAAAAGACTATATCGGATCCCGAGGCATTTTTACAGTCCTCCCTCAAAGATGGGGTGGTCTTGTGCAGACTGCTGGAGCGGCTGAGCCCGGGATCCACGGACAAAGTAAGGACAGAGCTGCCGCTTGTCTTCCCCTCTTGCCGCCCGCTTCATCGGCTCCTCAATGCGGCAAGAACCGTGACATAACGCGGTTTATCTCGCTTCTCTTTGCCCTCTGGCCCATGAAGAGATTCGTTTGTAGGTCACGAGCGCGTGGGTTATTGTTCCTAAAAACAGCACCAAATGGTTGCACATATGTCAGTAGGCCTACACTCACGCGTGTGATAGGTTTATACAGACAGACAGACAGACCACACCGTTCGCTGTGGCAGATGCGAGTCACGACGATCTATTCTGTGCGCAATTATTAGTAGCCTTTGTAGATTCTTAAACCAAGACAAACGATGAGGCGCATTTTTTTGTTGTCAAACAAACTCTTAAATTTATGAGCTCTATGGTTTGGGAATTGTGTAGCCTATATGGATTTTAGTTTTTTCTTCTGGAGACAGGCAACAGAAAAGGCCACAGATAGCCTACAGATGCGTTGTGAGATTGGAACCCAAAGCGCATTACGCGGTATTACGTTAATGCACAGGATCTGTAGGCCTCTAGCCTATGGTTTATATGTAGCCTATGTTTGACACATTATCCGGATCACCAGCTAGTGGTGTATGTGGGTACACCACAAGAGCTGGCCGCCATTGACTGCAAAAGCTCACAGACAGATAGAGACCCTCGCCACATTTAAAGCAACAGTGCGGTATTTGTAATGTATGTCTGTCAACACCAAAAGCCCCACTCACTTTAGCCTTGTTCTATATTGTGTACGACAAATCTTGTGTGGTTTTAGACAGATTGGGCGTTCCCTGGCGTTCTTAATCTTAAATGCCTCTCTGACAACAGAATAGCCTAGTGCTGTCTGGAGAGTGGCCACAGCTGGAAGAGAGAGACTCTTCCATCACCTTATAGGAGAACATCACCTATAGCCTAATCTAACCAGGGTTCTGACCAACCGTTGATTCTGTTCTTATGGTCTGATAGAGTAGGCTATTGAAATCTGCCCATGATGACCACCTGATGATGAGCTATTGGCCACAAGTGCAAAGGAGGAGAAAGAGTCTTCCCTCTATGAAAAATGCAGTTATTATTATATTCTGTTCTATAGCGTATTATATTCTAACTGCATAGACTGATAGGCTACAGGTCATTTAACTGGTAATTACTCTGGTAAAATATCTATATGTCCAGCCTCAGCCAGCGCCCAATGTTTCACTTTTGTTGTATATCTCACTGGCAGTTCATGTAGCCTATGGTTATAGACTGGTAATAAAAGGTGTCAGATCTGTCCTTCTAGATTCATAGGCTGTATTACATCCATTCACATTGACATTGTGGTTAGTGTTACTTATTTATTTCCCACCCGTTCTTTGATAATTATTCTGTTTTGATCAATTTTATCCATCCCGCCTCTGTTCAGAGGAGTCGCCAGCGTCCTCCCTCACTGCTTCTGTGTTATTGCTCACAGCTCCCATTCGCCAACGTCATTTCCCTCAATCCAATGCCTACTTCCCTGCTAGAGAATTTGTAGCTGTATTGTATAAGCAAGCCAAGAAGAGGGAATGTTGGCTTCTACTCTGAATCAAAACGCGCATACGACTGCTTCAAAGTAGCTAGGCTATGAAAAACAAGTTTATTTTGATCGAAATTCGTGTTTCTCATATGCATTTTTGTTGTCCCAGATCTACCAAGAACCGAAGAACGACGTCGAGTGCTTGAGCAACATAAAGGAGTTTCTCAAAGGCTGCACTTCGTTTCGCGTAGAGGTAAATTCTCCATAACATAACCCTACAAACACTCCAAACATGCATCCAACATTTAATACGAAAGATAAAGAACTTACATAAAATATTACCAATTTCCAATGTGACACAATAAACAATGGGGCCACGAAGTGGACGGAGGGATAGGCCTACTGACAGTGGGAGGAGGCTGGACTCCGAGCCGAGAACAATCACCCATCGCCGGGTGTGAGACTGCCTTGTTCGTCGCCTGCACTGAAATGGCCAATCCACAATCGCAACATTGTAACAGGCATGTTGCAATTATTTGGTGCCTTCGTTTAAAACTGTAACAATGTAACATTCTCTTGTAGGCTCCAAGTGCAGATAGCTAGTTAATTTATACATTTTGTTAAACTGTCTGGCCCTGACTATCAGACTGATGCTTTTCCATTATGTACGTCGTTGTCTTTCTTCCCTGGCCCACATAGCCTACGTGCATGGCGTTGCGCTTGTGTCCCCCATTTCTAGATTTGGAAACACCAGCTAGTTATCCAGATACCAGCAAGCGAGAATTAGGCTACACTTGGTCAATGAATCCATCCAGAGATGACAGAAGGTGTGGTCTTCAAACTCACTACATAGTTGACCCATATAGGAAGTCTTCACTCATGAGTTTTTATTGGGATGCTTTGGTATTTTCTCCTACAGCAGCAGCCAATGCTGTCTGTGTCGACTGTTATATCACACACTGACAATAATGATTAGGGTGAACGGTCTGATTTTAGATCTGTGGTCAGAGGGAAATGGCTAACACACACACACACACACACACACACACACACACACACACACACACACGCACACACATACACAGAGAGTTTGGTACTGTGTCAGTGCATAGAGGAGTCATTGAACCCACCCAGTCTGGACAATACAGCTCACTGTTCCATCTTCACCATTGACTTTCCCCACTGAGACTGCAGCAGGGGAGAAGGAGAGGGGAGAGGGAAAGAAATAGAGAGAGGGAGGGCACTGTAGAATAAAGGGGTCTGAATATTATTTTGTTAAAGGCTTACTTGTGCTTGGTGTTGAATGTCAACACAAAGCCTTCTCTTCTTGGATAATAATTTTCTAAATCAAATAAAATGTTATTTGTCACATGCTTAGTAAACAACAAGTGTAGACTAAAAGTGAAATTCTTACTTTTGGGCCCTTCCCAACAATGCAGAGAGAAAAATATAAAAATGATAACACAAGGAATAAATACACAATGATTGGCTATATACATTTACATTTACATTTTAGTCATTTAGCAGACGCTCTTATCCAGAGCGACTTACAGGAGCAATTAGGGTTAAGTGCCTTGCTCAAGGGCACATTAACGTCATTTAGCAGACGCTCTTAGCCAGAGCGACTCGCAAATTGGTGCGTTCACCCTATAGCCAGTGGGATAACCACTTTACAATTTGGGGGGGGCAACGAACGGGTACCAGTACCAAGTCGGTGTACCAGTACCTACTAGTGCTGAGTAGGTATTATTGATTTTAAAAAGCCTTTATTTGAATAGGCATATCACTGACGCTTTATGACAACACATATGTTGACACAGAATAACAATGTAATAGAGATGCTATGCGTCTAGTACAGTGTTTCTCAATCCTGGTCCTGGGGACCCAAAGTGGTGCACAGTTTTGTTTTTGCCCTAGCACTATGATTCCATTAATCAAAGGCTTGATGAGTTGCTTAGTTGAATCAGGTGTCTGAGAGCTGGAGCAAAAACTAAAATGTGCACCCATTTGGATCCCCAGGACCAGGCTTGGAAAACACTGGTGTAGTAAGTTAACATTCATGTTTGAGGTTGGACTGATTCCAATCTCTGAGAAGTGGACTGCTCATCTCCCTCTCTCTGAGTCATGGGGTGTTTTTGGGATAACTAAGCCTCCCAGGTGTGCAGACAGACAGACCTTGAAATCCTCACAGCAGCCCTCCATGCCCCTCATACTGTAACCCTGTTTCCCTATAAGCTGCTTTAGAGGGGAGAGGAGAGCGTGGCGTGTGTGTTTGTGTAACATGCTGGGAGATGGATTATAACAGTGTACTACATGGCCAGACATCATGGACCCTCTCCAGACACCAAATGACTGCTGGCTCACAGTACAGGTTGCTGCATGGGGCAGCAGATTAGGGGTGTGTGTGTGTGTACGTACCCACATGTGGGTGTGCCAGCGCTTTTTAAGCCCTGACCTGCTTCTGATGGGTGTGTGTATGCTGTGTGTTTGGCGGAGAGTCCACTTTGCGCATGTGTGTATGTTTTGGCCCATATGTGGGTACCAGCTTCCGATGAGTGTGTTTGGCAGATGATTGTATACTGTTTGGTGTGTGTGTGGGTACTGTGTGTGTGCGTGTTAATGTTGTTTTCTTGGAATTATTCTATGGGCAATTCCACGGTAACGGTGATGCTGAGACTCAGATTATTCACTTTAAAATGCATGCCCAACAAAAAACACTGATTGCTAAACAAACCACACAACTATGGTTTGGACTACTTTGAATAATATCCACAGAAAATTGTACAAAAACACTTTTACTTGAAGAACAGTGCAGATGCAAAGTTCATTAACAGAATGACCAGCAGCACAAACAGTCATTCTGTTACCAAACTTTGCATCTGCACTCTTCTTCAAGTACATGTGTCTTTATGTCTTCAGACTGTTTGGAGCCATGTCACACACACGCTGTGCAGCCGTTAGCTGACCCTTCACTCCTGACCTGTTGACCACAGGAAGTGACCCTAAGAGTTTCCACACCCCCTGTAGTCATCGATCCAGTTAGAGTACTTTTGAAATGCACCCTTCCTCCCTTCCTTGGAGTGGCCACTGATCTGCTATTCTGGAGAAGTAAAAGCCATATAGTGGAACTCCTGATTTCACCTACTGGTTCTATCATGTCAGGTCTGGGGTTGCCTTAAGGGCCACAGTGAAACCAGTCTTTATGCGTTCAGCTCTGATTAGGCCATAATGGTGGAAACATTGTGTCAATAAACCACAGTGGAGCATAGTTTGAGGTCACTTTCACGTTTTTCTGCACACATTATTTGACACCCAAAACCTTCTCACAATCATTGAATGTGTGTATGTAATATTTTCCTTTGCTGGGAATAAAAGCTTCATATTGTTGAAGTTCTGTATGAGAGGAGGGTTGGCTGCTTTCAGATCACTACCTCTATGGGACAGTGGAGGAATATAAGACTGGACTGTAACTCTGGAAGGAGCACATTGTATGCATGCCATGCACACACACACACATTCTCTCAGGGCATAGCCTGTCTGTAATCAGAGCGGAAGACAAAAGGAAGACAGTAACCACTGCACAGGGAGGGAGAGATGAAGCGAGGGAGGGAGAAATGGAGATGGAGGGGGAGATTGAGAGATGGTGAGAGGGGGAGAGAGTGATGTACATGAACAGACATTTTACAGGGAGAGAATGAAACAACAATAATCCAATTCACTCCACAGGCACATTAAACTCCACTCTATCTACTCAACCCCTTTAGTTTACAGTAGTTTGTGAAGCTGTCTGTATGCTACTGTCTTATTTTGATAGCTTCTGATAGTGAATATGGGTTCTATTGATTGGCATTGGCAGGCCTTGTGATGACCCAGCTCCAGTGCTGTCCAATTGAGTAAATATTTTTTCCCCGAGTACTTTTGGGCATGTCTCCACGTATTTTAGTTTTGGCACTAACACCATGTCACACACAGGAATGATGTGCGCGCACAGAAACACACACACACACACACACACACACACACACACACACACACACACACACACACACACACACACACACACACACACACACACACACACACCAGTGGCGGCTGGTGGGAGGAGCTATAGGAGGATGGGCTCATTGTAATAGCTGGAATGGAATAAATGGAACGGTATCAAATACATAAAACATATGGAAACCACATATTTGACTCCGTTCCATTAATTCCATTCCAGTATTACAATGAGCCCATCCTCCTATAGCTCCGCTCACCAGCCTCCACTGACCCGTCTTTCTCTCGTCTCCCAGCCGTTTGAGCCCAGCGATCTGCTCCTAGGACTGAACTTCTCCAAGATACTCAGCAGTCTGGTGGCTCTCAACAAAGTGACTGCAGGTTAGTCTGAAGTGTGTGTTTGTGTGCATGTGCGCAGCCCGTGTGAGTATGTGTGTGCAGTATAACCATTCTATTTTATGTGTGTGTGTGTGTGTATATATACAGTAACTGCTCTATTCGTTATCTCTAGACATTGGAGTGGGCAGTGACAGTGTGTGTGCCCGTCACTCGTCGGCCCATCGGATCAAGTCGTTTGAGTCTCTGGCCTCCCAGTCATCACTGGGTCGATCCTCCAAGCTGCTTCAGAACCAGTACCGCAGCCTGGTGAGACACACACATACACACACACACCAGCCTTAGTGCTGAAGCCCAACTTCTGAAATGTCTATCTCAAAGTGCATCTATGTCAAATGGAGATTTGTGTGGGCTTATCGTGTAGTCAGTATTCCCCTCCCCCTCTCTACCTCCCTACCTCCCACTCTCTACTCCCCTACCTCCCCCTCTCTACCTCCCTACCTACCTCTCCCTCTCGATCTACCTCCCTACCTCCCCCCCTCTGCCTCCCTACCTCCCCCTCTCTACCTCCCTACCTTCCCCTCTCTGCCTCCCTACCTCCCCCTCTCTGCCTCCCTTCCTCCCCCTCTGTACCTCCCTCCTCACCTCTCTACCTCTCTTATAGGACATGTCTGAGGGCAGCGGGACGCAGCTATTGGTCAAGGCTCGCTTCAACTTTGAACAGACCAATGAGGACGAGCTGTCCTTCAACAAGGGTGATGTCATCAACGTGACACGCCAGGAGGAGGGCGGCTGGTGGGAGGGGAACCTCAACGGCAAGACCGGCTGGTTCCCTAGCAACTATGTCCGTGAGATCAAAGGCTGTGGTATGTATCCCTTATTATAAACTGTGTGGTTCGAGCCCTGAATGCTGATTGGCTGACAGCCGTGGTAAACCACGGGTATGACAAAGCATTTATTTTTACTGCTTTAATTACGTTGGTAACCAGTTTATAATAGCAATAAGGCACCTCTGGGGTTTGTGATATATGGCCAGTATACCACGGCTAAGGGCTGTATCCAGGCACGCGTTGCGTCGTGCATAAGAACAGCCCTTAGCCGTGGTATATTGTCCATATACCACACCCCCTCGTGCCTTATTGCTTAATTATTCTTGCTACTGAACATCACATAACCCAGGAATATCAGAAAGGACATGAAGGAAATGGATGGTGTCTGATGGAGAGAAATATCTAATTTCTCTCTCTCTCCCCCTCTCCCTCTCAGACAAACAAGTGTCCCCCAAATCTGGGACCCTCAAGAGCCCCCCAAAAGGCGTTGACACTACGGCCATTAGCAAGACCTACTACAACCTGGTAAGACCTGGTCATCCAATTTACTTCTCTCACTGTCTGTCTTCCTCTCCCTTTCTCTGGCTCTGTCTCTTTCTCTCTCTCTCTTTCTATGTGTGTGCGTCTCTCTCAATACTGCTGTTACAATCCTCAATAAAATAAATGACTCTTAAAGCTGTAGGCCTGAGGTGCCATGGCCGCTCCAGATAGCTTGACCTAGTTCTGCTTGTGTTCCTGACATTTTAATGTCTCTCAGTGCTCTGGGTTACTGACATGAGAGAACAAGTAAATACATGCTGTACTAGAGAGAGAAGGAGAAACAAAAGGACATGGAGAGGGAGAGAGGGGGAGAGAGAGAGGGAGAGAGAGAGAGAGGGAGAGACAAGGAGTGAGAGAGAGAGACAAGGAGAGATAGAGACAGGGAGAGAGAGGGAGAGAGAGAGGGAGGGAGAGGGAGAGAGAGGGAGAGAGAGAGGGAGAGACAAGGAGTGAGAGAGAGAGACCAAGGGAGAGAGAGAGACCAAGGAGAGAGAGAGAGACAAGGAGAGAGAGAGAGACACAAGGAGAGAGAGAGACACAAGGAGAGAGAGAGAGACACGGATAGAGAGAGAGAGAGAGAGAGAGAGAGACAAGGAGCGAGAGAGAGATTATTTTATTACAATGTATATTGTATACATTGTTGCTTTGGCAATATTGACGCTTTTCATGCTAATAAAGCAGCTTGAATTTGAATTTGAATTTGAGAGAGAGAGACATTTCAAACCTCTTTATTCTTTTGGAACGTTTGTGTGTAATGTTTCATGTTAATTTGTGATAGTTTATTGCACTTGCTTTGGCAATGTAAACATATGTTTCCCATGCCAATACAGCCCCTTTGAATTGAATTGAAAATTGAGAGAGAGAGTGTCTGTCTACCTGCCTGGACACAAGACTTACTCCCTCTACACCAGCGTGTCCCAAACTCGGTCCTAGGGACCCCAAGGGGTGCACGTTTTAGTATTTGCCCTAACACTACACAGCTGATTCAAATTATCAAAGCATCTGTGTAGTGCTAGGGCAAAAACCAATACGTGCACCACTTGGGGTCCTGAAGACCGAGTTTGGGAAACCCTGATCTACACCTCTCTATTTCACCTCTCCCCACTCCCCATCTCTCCTACTTCCTTCATTATTTATATGGTCCTCCACTCCCACCCAGAGCTGTAACTCAGAGAGGAGAAGCTCTATGTACCATAAACTGTCTAGTCCTGTAGTAAAAGAGACTGTGATTAGAGGGTTAGGCTGGAGGTCCAGGGCCAATGGGAGGTCAAGGGTGAGGGGTCAGAGGGAGTGAAAGTATTCAGAGTTACAAAGACATGAAATTACAACTTGAACCATAGAGTGATACTCCTCAATAACCAACATGAAACTTGTAAAAACTCTCCCTCACACACACTCTCCCCAGGTGCTGCAGAACATTCTAGAAACAGAGACAGAATATTCCAAGGACCTCCAGAGCCTTCTGACCAACTACCTGCGATCACTCCAGAGCACAGAGAAGTAAGATCCACTTGTTGTACTGTTGTAAACCTCCCTCCCTCTGTCTCTGTCTGTCTGTCTGTCTGTCTGTCTGTCTGTCTGTCTGTCTGTCTGTCTGTCTGTCTGTCTGTCTGTTGTACTGTCTGTATGATGACATACTGTATGGCCACTGATTGGATTGGATCTGCTGGACTCATTCCAAAACTCATGCTCTCTCCTCTCTCTTTCTCTCTCCTCTCTCTTTCTCTCTCTTTCTCTTTCTCTCTCTCTCTTTCTCTCTCTCTTTCTCTCTCCCTCCCCCTCTTCCCTCTCCTCCTCCTTCTCCACCTCTCCTTCTCTTCTCCTCTCCCCCCTCTCCTCCTCCTCCTCCTCCTCCTCCACCTCTCCTTCTCTTCTCCTCTCCCCCCTCTTCCTCCTCCTCCTCCTCCTCCTCCTCCTCCTCCTCCTCCTCCTCCACCTCTCCTTCTCTTCTCCTCTCCCCCCTCTCCTCCTCCTCATCCTCCTCCATCTCTCCTTCTCTTCTCCTCTCCCCCTCTCCTCCTCCTCCTCCTCCTCCTCCACCTCTCCTTCTCTTCTCCTCTCCCCGCTCTCCTCCCTCCTCTCCTCTTCTCCTCCCTCTCTCCAGACTGAGCAGTACAGATGTGTATGTGATCCTGGGGAACCTGGAGGAGATCAGCACCTTCCAGCAGATGCTCGTCCAATCACTGGAGGAGTGCACCAAGTAAGTCCGGCCCCTCACAGACTTTCCACCAATCAGCACACAGGGATCAGAGAAAGGGCTTGTCACTGCTGTTCTAATCCAATCAGATCTGTCCTGCTGCTACTTGCGATATTTTACAGCAGTTTTCCTTCGAGGTAAATAAAGGGTATAGGAACATCTAGTGGTTGGCTGTGGTAATACAGCAATCCTTGATTTCACTCAGCTTGTGTGTGTTTTTTTCCCAACATGTGCAGACTTCCAGAGAGCCAGCAGAGGGTAGGGGGCTTTTTCATGAACCTGATGCCCCAGATGAAGGCTCTCTACGTGGGTTACTGCTCCAACCACCCCTCGGCAGTCAACGTGCTCACCCAGCACAGGTAAATCTAGACCCTATGCAGCATGAAACTGATGTTCTAACATTCTTACTGTACAACAATGATTTATTTTTACACAGGCAGGTAGTGTAAAGGCTACAATTAGACTTGACAATTGAATACCCCTCTCTCTCTCCTTGTCTCTCTCTCTCTCTCTCTCTCTCTCTCTCTCTCTCTCTCTCTCTCTCTCTCTCTCTCTCTCCCTCCCTCCCCAGTGAGGAGCTGGGGGAGTTTATGGAGGGGAAGGGAGCCAGTAGTCCAGGTATCCTGACCCTGACCACAGGCCTCAGTAAACCCTTCATGAGGCTGGACAAATACCCCACTCTACTGAAGGAACTGGAGAGACACATGGAGGTAGGGCTGTGTGTGTGTGTCACGTATAGGTGTGTTTACTCTAAGATGTTGGTGTGCGATTGTTTGTGTGTGTGTGTTTGTGTGTGTCATGTGCAGGTATGTGTGTAAGAGTGTCCTCATTCACTGATGATGGATGTGTGTGTGTGTACAGCTGTATAACTGCTCTCTGCTGTGCTCCCTGTAGGAGAGTCACCCCGACTGGCCAGACATCCAGAAGTGTATGACAACATTCAAGAGCCTCTCGGTGAGTCACACCAATACACATATCGCCTCTTGTTTCCATAGTTACCTCATTAGCAGCGCATGGTGTGCGTCAAGCTGTGACGTGTGAGTCATGAGTCGACATGTTATGGTACACTTGAATGATATGAGCATGCATCACTTGTGCACACATAATCATTAAGTCATTATAAACACTACATGACCAACAGTATGTGGACACCTGCTTGTCAAACATCTCATTCCAAAATCATGGGCATAAATATAGAGTTGGTCCCCCCCCTTTGCTGCTATAACAGCCTCCACTCTTCTGGGAAGGCTTTCCACTAGATGTTGGAACATTGCTGCTGGGACTTGCTTCTGTTCAGCCACGAGCGTTAGTGAGGTTGGGCACTGATGTTGGGCGATTAGGCCTGGCTCGCTGTCAGCATTCTAATTCATCCTGAAACATGACAATGTTTGAGCAAAGAAACTCAAAAGGGGTGATGATATTAATTAACAGTAATTTTGATCCGAATGTGCAAATTGTCCAAACAGCTCCGCAAGGTAGATGGATGATTTTAAATATGTTATTGGACCATAAACAGATATGGCTCATTAACCTTTACGGACCAAATAATGATGATCCACGCTTCTTTGACAATATATATAATAAATTATCAACCCTGCAAGCAATACAATACTATTATTATGGTGGGAGATTATAATACTGTTTTAAATATCTGAATGGACCGTAAAGGAAATCACACTACAAACTGTCATGGATACATTAGAACTAGTGGATATATGGAGGCTTAAATATCCTGACCTAGTGAGATATACATGGTGGAGACTCAATCAAGCTAGTCGTCTTGACTTCTTTCTTATGTCATTCTCGTTGGCACCAAAAGTTTAAAAAGTGTTGATAGGGGACAGAATGCAGTCGGACCATCATATAATTAACATATACATTACTCTTACTGAATTTCCACCTGGGCGAGGATATTGGAAATTTAATCAAAGCCTATTGGATGATAACTTGTTTTTAACTAGGACAGAGGAATTTATAACTGAACACCTGTCCACAACCTCAAACAGTCACACTCCAAACTCCACTATGGCCAAGACCAAAGAGCTGTCAAAGGACACCAGAAACAAAATTGTAGACCTGCACCAGGCTGGGAAGACTGAATCTGCAATAGGTAAGCAGCTTGGTTTGAAGAAATCAACTGTGGGAGCAATTATTAGGAAATGGAAGACATACAAGACCACTGATAATCTCCCTCGATCTGGGGCTCCACGCAAGATCTCACCCCGTGGGGTCAAAATGATCACAAGAACGGTGAGCAAAAATCCCAGAACCACACAGGGGGACCTAGTGAATGACCTGCAGAGAGCTGGGACCAAAGTAACAAAGCCTACCATCAGTAACACACTACGCCGCCAGGGACTCAAATCCTGCAGTGCCAGACATGTCCCCCTGCTTAAGCCAGTACATGTCCAGCCCCGTCTGAAGTTTGCTAGAGTGCATTTGGATGATCCAGAAGAGGATTGGGAGAATGTCATATGGTCAGATGAAAACAAAATATAACTTTTTGGTAAAAACTCAACTCGTCGTGTTTGGAGGACAAAGAATGCTGAGTTGCATCCAAAGAACACCATACCTACTGTGAAGCATGGGGGTGGAAACATCATGCTTTGGGGCTGTTTTTCTGCAAAGGGACCAGGACGACTGATCCGTGTAAAGGAAAGAATGAATGGGGCCATGTATCGTGAGATTTTGAGTGAAAACCTCCTTCCATCAGCAAGGGCATTGAAGATGAAACGTGGCTGGGTCTTTCAGCATGACAATGATCCCAAACACACCGCCCGGGCAACGAAGGAGTGGCTTCGTAAGAAGCATTTCAAGGTCCTGGAGTGGCCTAGCCAGTCTCCAGATCTCAACCCCATAGAAAATCTTTGGAGGGAGTTGAAAGTCCGTGTTGCCCAGCGACAGCCCCAAAACATCACTGCTCTAGAGGAGATCTGCATGGAGGAATGGGCCAAAATACCAGCAACAGTGTGTGAAAACCTTGTGAAGACTTACAGAAAACGTTTGACCTGTGTCATTGCCAACAAAGGGTATATAACAAAGTATTGAGAAACTTTTGTTATTGACCAAATACTTATTTTCCACCATAATTTGCAAATAAATTCATAAAAAATCCTACAATGTGATTTTCTGGATTTCTTTTCTCATGTTGTCTGTCATAGTTGACGTGTACCTATGGTGAAAATTACAGGCCTCTCTCATCTTTTTAAGTGGGAGAACTTGCACAATTGATGGCTGACTAAATACTTTTTTCCCCCACTGTATGTCAAAAGAGTCCATACTAACAAAGGAAATAGAAGGTCTAACAGAACAGATAGATAGCAATAAAAACTATAACATAGATGCTCAGAATAAATTAGAGGAAAAACAAAAAGAAATGGAGAAACTTAGTCAAGAAAGATCAAGTGTAATATATTATAAAAATAAAGCAAACTGGATGGAATATGGGGAAAATGCACCAAATTATTTTTTAATCTTCAACATAGAAATGCTACCAAAAATAATTTAATTTAACTGAAGCTAATTGTAGGGATTTTTTTCTATTGATAATGTAAAATTAGCAGCCATACAGAAAGACTCATGTGAAGGTGAAATTACAGAGGAGGAACTTCTGGATGCAATTAAAGACTTTAAGTCTGGGAAAACTCCAGGGTTGGATGGCCAGTTGAGGTATACCAAACCTTTTTTGATATACTCAGAGGACCGTTGTTAGCATGTTTTAACCACTCCTATGTAAATGGTAGATTATCAGACACTCAAGAAGAAGGTCTGATTTCATTATTACTGAAACAGGATACAAGTGGGAAATATAAAGATCCAGTCCATTAAAACATTTTTGAGGCCCCTTACACTTCAGTGTGATGCAAAAATTCTAGAATATAATTAAAAAGGTATTGTCGTACATTATTCATTCTAATCAGACAGGTTTTTTACATGGACGATACATTGGAGATAATATATGGCAGGTACTGGAAACAATAGAACACTATGAAAAATCTGGGAAACCAGGCCTGCTATTCATAGCTGACTTTGAAAAGGCATTCGATAAAGTACGACTGGAGTTTATATATAAATGCCTGGAGCCTTTCAATTTAGGAGAATCTGTTATAAAATGGGTTAAAATCATGTATAGTAACCCTAGGTGTAAAATAGTAAATAATGGCTATTTCTCAGAAAGTTTTAAACCGTCAAGAGGAGTAAAATAAGGTTATCCAGTATTGGCATATCTATTTATTATGGCCATCGAAATGTTAGCTATTAAAATCAGATCCAACAATAATATCAAGGGATTAGAAATCCAGGGCTTAAAAACAAAGGTGTCATTGTACACTGATGATTCATGTTTTCTTTTAAATCCTCAACTTGAATCCCTCCACAGCCTCATAGAGGATCTAGATACATTTTCTAACCTCTCTGGATTACAACCAAATTATGATAAATGTTATTACGTATTGGATCACTAAAAAATAAAAATGTTACATTACCGTGTAGTTTACCAATAAAATGGTCTGATGGTGATGTGGATATACTCGGAATACATATCCCAAATGAAATAAATGATCTCACTCCAATACATTTTAATAGAAAGTTAGCAAAGATATAGATAAGATCTTGCTACCATGGAAAGGTAAATACCTGTCTATTTGTGGAAAAATTACCCTGATTACCTCTTTAGTATTATCCCAGTTTACCTATTTGCTTATGGTATTGCCTAGTGAACAGTTTTTAAAATTATATGAGAATAAAATATAAAATTTTATTTGGAACGGCAAGCCAGACAAAATTAAATGGGCCTATTTATACAATCAATATGAATTCGGAGGACAGAAATTATTAAATATTAAAGCATTAGACCTATCACTAAAAGCTTCAGTCATACAAAAGTTATACTTAAATCCGAACTGGTTCTCTAGCAAATTAGTAAGATTGTCTCACCCCATGTTCAAGAATGGCCTTTTTCCCTGTATTCAGATTACAACCTCTCACTTTCAGTTATTTGAAAAGGAAATCATCTCCCAAATATCACTATTTCTAAAACAAGCCATAGAAAGTTGGTTGCAATTTGAATTTTATCCGCCAGAAACGGCAGAACAAATAATGCAACAAATATTGTGGTTATACTCAAATATACTAATTGATAAAAAACCATTATCTTTTGAAAAAATGTTTTTAAATGATATTATCTTCATAAATTATATCACAGGTAGGACTGGTGGAGTTATTTCGCACATGCAGCTAACAAAAACAAAAATGGAAGAGGAAAGTGGAAGGGGGAAAAAGTAAGGAACTTGTCTGTCAGCCCTGCATTAAAGACCATAATTGGTTAAAGAAAATTGTGATAAATAAAAAAGTATACCAGTTTCATTTAAGGACCAAAGGATTGACAGCCGTCCCATATAGATTGCAAAATAGTTGGGAAGAGATTTCTGACGTACCGATTCCATGTCAAATTGTTTATGAACTGATATGCAAAACGACGCCGCATTCAAAACTACAAATTTTTCTATTTAAATTATTATACAAAATTCTTGCTACCAATTGAATGTTTTATTTTTATTGTATTTTATTTTATTTAACCTTTATTTAACCAGGTAAGCCAGTTGAGAACAAGTTCTCATTTACAACTGCGACCTGGCCAAGATAAAGCAAAGCAGTGCGATAAAAACAACAACACAGAGTTACATATGGGGTAAAACAAAACATAAAGTCAAAAATACAACAGAAAATATATATACAGTCTGTGCAAATGTAGCAAGTTATGGAGGTAATGTAATAAATAGGCTATAGTGCAAAATAATTACAATTAGTATTAACACTGGAATGATAGATGTGCAAGAGATGATGTGCAAATAGCGATACTGGGGTGCAAATGAGCTAAATATATAACAATATGGGGATGAGGTAGTTGGGTGGGCTAATTTCAGATGGGCTGTGTACAGGTGCAGTGATCAGTAAGGTGCTCTGACAACTGATGCTTAAAGTTATTTATTTATATGGGGGATACAATCTTCCCAGCTCTGCAGATTTTGCTGCGAAGAGACAGAATCATGAGATCATTTGTTTTGGTACTGTTTTCATTTGTTTTGTAGCTTGTTTTTGGTCACAGGTCCAGGAATGGCTGAAGGATTGCAATATTTACCTGGAGCTAACCCTGCAGATAGCAGTACTGGGTGATCTGAAAAGTAATAGTCAATCAATCAATAATATAATAATAATACTTTTAGCAAAAATGATTATTTTCAATTTACAATCTGTAGAAACAATGAGAATAGAAGGGTTCAGAACTTTTGTGAAACATCACAGTACAGTTGAAAAATATATGACAAATAGAAATCCAATATGGATGGTGTTAAGAGGGTTGAATGGAGCTGAAGGATGGGACTAATAACAACTAACAACAACTAATAACAACAAGATAACTAATGTAAAGCATACTGTGTCCATAATAAGTATATAGGTTATAGGTTGAGAGCTTTTGTGAAAGAGCACAGTTAGAAAGATATGGCATATAGAAGCAAACCGGATGGACATCATGAAAATGATCGGAGAGGTTGAGGGTAGAGGAAGTTCTGTAGTAAAAACAAACAAAATATAATTATTGTAAAATTGACTGTGTCCATAAAATGTATATAGTATGTATAAGCTGGAAGTAGAGGCCTAAGCGTTGTTGTTCACTAGTTTACTCCAATTAGGGGAGGGGTGGTGGGGTTGGAAAGTAATAAAGGGAAATATATTTTTTAAAAGGATATGTGTAAGGGTTGGTGTGAGGTGTGACCCTGGTGCGGTGCAGGTTAGACAGTAGGCAGTCGGCAGAGATGGTGAAACAAGGAACTTTACTGATGGTCCCGAAGCCAGGATACAAAATAACGGACTTTACATGAAAAAGGTGGAGCAAATAAGACTCCAAAAAACAGGCAGACAGCCAAAAATACGAAATACTAACTATGACTGAAATAATGAATAAACAGGGAGAACACTTCTCACGTACCTGTCCATACGTCCCGCGATCAGACACTGATTAGTACTGCTTGGCATAGTGAAACTAGCAGAGAAAACTGAGCAAGGGAACACAGGGAAGTGAGGGCATAAATACACAGGTGCCTAAGGTTGTCGGAGGATGACACCTAGTGGGTTGCTCCGGAACTGCGATCCACTCCTGTAACAGATATGTATATATATGTATGTATGTGTAGATGTATGTGTATGTATATACACATACATATATGTATATATACACATACTGTACATATACCATTATTTATCCTCCACCAAACTTTACATTTGGCACTATGCATTCGGGCAGGTAGCGTTCTCCTTGCTTCTGCCAAACCCAGATTTGTCCGTCGGACTGGCAGATGGTGAAGCGTGATTCATCACTCCAGAGAACATGTTTCCACTGCTTCAGAGTCCAATGGCGGCGAGCTTTACATCACTCCAGGCGATGCTTGGCATTGTGCATGGTGATCTTAGGCTTGTGTGCGCCTGCTTGGCCATGGAAACCTATTTAATGAAGCTCCCGACCAACAGTTATTGTGATGACGTTGCTTCCAGAGGCAGTTTGGAACTCGGTAGTGAGTGTTGCAACTGAGGACAGATGATTTTTACGCGCTACACACTTCAGCACTCGGCGGTCCCGTTCTGTGAGCTTGTGTGGCCTACCACTTCGCAGCTGAGCCGTTGTTGCTCCTAGACGCTTCCACTTCACAATAACAGCACTTACAGTTGACTGGGGAAGCTCTAGCAGGGCAGAAATTTGACGAACTGACTTGTTGGAAAGGTGGCATCCTATTGACGGTGCCACGTTGAAAGTCACTGAGCTCTTCAGTAAGGCCATTCTACTGCCAATGTTTGTCTATGGAGATTGCATGGCTGTGTGCTCAATTTTATACACCTGCCAGCAACAGGGGTTGCTGAAATAGCCAAATCCACTAATTTGAAGGGGTGTCCCCATACTTTTGTATATATAGTGTATCTATGGACACACAATTTTACATTGTTTCTGTGGTAATAAAAGTCTGTGGTGCTGATGGTATTTCCGTGGCGACAGGTCCAGTGCCAGGAGGTGAGGAAGAGGAAGGAGCTGGAGCTGCAGATTGTGACTGAGTCCATCAGGCTGTGGGAGGGAGACGACATTAGAACACTGGGCTCTGTCCTCTACATGAGTCAGGCTCTGGTTAACAGCCCTGGAGCAGAGGTCAGAGGAAAACCTTAGAACAACCTCACAATAACATTATAATAACTGATGTACATGAGTAAAATACTATTAACACACTGTCTCTCTGTCTCTCTCTCTCGCTCTCTCTCCATCTCGCTCTCTCTCTAGGAGAAGTGTGAGCGCTACCTCATGCTCTTCCCTCATGTCCTCCTCATGCTGTCTGCCAGTCCAAGGATGAGTGGCTTCATATTCCAGGTATAACCCCTGACCCCTTAGTCTACTATACCAGAGTCATATTGATTTGGTGCCAAATGGAAGAAAATGGACTGAAAGAGCGAGGGACTACATGAACATGCTCATTTTATTTTTCAGTGTCAAAATGTTTTCTACGGTGTTCCCTAATGAATAAGACCCAGTTGTGATTAACCACTGTGTTTAGTGTGGGTTCAGATGTTGATGATGGTTTCTTGTCTACAGGGGAAGCTGCCATTGACTGGTATGACTGTGACCACGGTAGAGGACAGTGAGGCCCACAAATACTCCTTTGAGCTTTCTGGTAAGACTACTGTGGTTTATTCAGAACGTACATGTGTCCCGAGTGGCACAGTGGTCTAAGGCACTGCATTGCAGTGCTAGCTGTGCCACTAGAGATCCTGGTTAGAATCCAGGCTCTGTCGTAGCCGGCCGCGACCGGGAGACCCATGGGGCGGCGCACAATTGGCCCAGCGTCGTCCAGGGTAGGGGAGGGATTGGCCAGCAGGGATGTAGCCCACGGGGGGCCAGTATGAAAAATATAAAAATAATGTATGCACTCACTAACTGTAAGTCGCTCTGGATAAGAGCGTCTGCTAAATGACTAAAATGTAAATGTGTATAATGTGTGTATTGTGTCCTCCAGGCAGTCTATTTGAGCGTCTCCAGGTTGTGTGTAACAATCAGCAGGACCTGCAGGACTGGGTAGACCACCTGACCCGTCAGACCAAACACACCACTCCCCCAAGCCACAAACCCCTCACTGTCCCCTGCCACACGGTCAGTAACACACATATGCATTGTACATAAGCACACACACACACGCTCACACAGACAAACTAAGCTATATGGGAAAACACTGTACAGTGCATTCGGAAAGTATTCAGACCCTTTTACTTTTTCCACATTTTGTTACGTCACATCCTTATTCCAAAATGGATTCAATAAAAAATGTTCCTCATCAATCGACACACAAAACGAAAACAAGTTTTTAGAAATGTTTGCAAATTTATGAAAAATAACCAACAGAAATTCCTTATTTACATAAGTATTCAGACCCTTTGCTATGAGACTCAAAATTGAGCTCAGGTGCATCCTGTATCCATTGATCATCCTTGAGATGTTTCTACAACTTGATTGGAGTCCACCTATGGTAAATTCAATTGATTGGACATGATTTGGAAAGGCACACACCTGTCTATATAAGGTCCCACAGATGACAGTGCATGTCAGAGGAAGAACCACGCCATGAGGTCGAAGGAATTGTCCGTAGAGCTCCGAGACAAGATTGTGTCGAGGCACAGATCTGGGGAAGGGTACCAAAACAAGTCTGCAGCATTGAAGGTCCCCAAGAACACAGTGGCCTCCCCAACAACACAAGACTCTTCCTAGAGCTGGCCGCCTGGCCAAACTGAGCAATCGGGGGAGAAGGGCCTTTGTCAGAGAGGTGACTAAAAACCCGATGGTCACTCTGACAGAGCTCCAGAGTTCCTCTGTGGAGATGGGAGAACCTTCCAGAAGGACAACCATCTTTGCACCACTCCACCCACAGGCCTTTATGGTAGAGTGGCCAGACGGAAGCCATTCCTCAGTAAAAGGCACATGACAGCCCGCTTGGAGTTTGCCAAAAGGCACCTAAAGACTCTCAGACCATGAGAAACAAGATTCTCTGATCTGATGAAACCAAGATTGAACTCTTTGGCCTGAATGCCAAACATCACATCTGGAGGAAACCTGGCACCATCCCTACGGTGAAGCATGGTGGTGGCAGCATCAGGTTTTTCAGCGGCAGGGACTGGGAGACTAGTCAGGATGGAGGGAAAGATAAATGGAGCAAAATGATCCTTGATGAAAACCTGTGCCAGAGCGCTAAGGACCTCAGACTGGGGTGAAGGTTCACCTTCCAACAGGACAACGACCCTAAGCACACAGCCAAGACAACGCAGGAGTGGCTTCGGGATAAGTCTCTGAATGTCCAGAGCACAGGCTTGAACCCGATCAAACATTTCTGGAGAGACCTGAAAATAGCTGTGCAGCGACGCTCCCCATCCAACCTAACAAAGCTTGAGAGAATCTGCAGAGACTAATGGGAGAAACTCCCCAAATACAGGTGTGCCAAGCTTGTAGCGTCATACCCAAGAAGACTTGAGTCTGTAATCGCTGCCAAAGGTGCTTCAACAGAGAACTGAGTAAAGGGTCTGAATACTTATGTAAAGGTGATATTTCAGTTTTTTATTTTTAATACATTTGCAAAAATGTCAAGAAACCTGCTTTTGCTTCGTCATTATGGGGTATTGTGTGTAGATTGATGAGGGAAAAAAACAATTTAATCCATTTTAGAATAAGGCTGTAACGTAACAAAGTGGAAAAAGTCAAGGGGTCTGAATACTTTCCGAATGCACTGTAAATGTAACAATTACAACTAATCTCTGTCTCTCCCTTCCCTCTCCCCCCCTCACCTCTCGCTTGCTCTTCCCCACTCCTTTCCTCTCTCCCCCCTCCATCCCCCCTCTCTCTCCTTCTCCTCCCTCTCTCTCCCCCTCCCTCTCTCTCCCTCCCTCCATCAGTTGCCCTCCCACCCTCTGACTCCGTCCCGTCACGCGGAGGGCCGAGCGATGACGGTGGCCCCTGCCTACCACACCCTGCCCCACCCTTCCTCCCACGGGGCCCCACACAGCAGCATGATGTGGGGGCCCCTGGAACCCCCCAACACCCCCAAGCCCTGGAGCCTCAGCTGCCTGCGCCCCGCACCCCCTCTCAGGCCCTCTGCTGCACTCTCCTACAAGGAGGTGAGGAAGAGTGTGTGTGGATGGGGAGGGAGGATGTGTGTGTGTGTGATGGCATTGATAGCAATTGTGTTATGTGTATGGTGAGGTTGGGTGTCATTGCTTATTTGTGTCATTCATTCCTGTCCCTCACTCGCTGTTACCCTTTCTCCTTGCCCTCTCTCTCTCTCTCTCTCTCTCTCTCTCTCTCTCCCCTCTCTCTCTCTCTCTCTCTCTCTCCCCCCTCTCTCTCTCTCTCTCTCTCTGCTCTCTGTCTCCAGGACCTCAATAAAAGTCCTAAGAGTGTGAAGAAGCTTCTTCCTAAACGTAAACCAGAGAGAAAACAGTCAGACGAGGAGTTTGCCCTGAGGAAGAGTAAGTTTGCTCTGTGTGTGTACGTGTGAGTGTGTGTGTTCTAACCCCCTGCTCTCCTCTCGTCCCCAGGTACAGCTGCTCTAGAGGAAGATGCTCAGATCCTAAAGGTGATCGAAGCTTACTGTACCAGCGCCAAGACCAGACAGACCCTCAACTCGAGTAAGAACACGCACACACACTCACACACTCATCGTTACTGTCAGGTCTTGTTGTCTCTTGTCATTCTTGGATCACAGTAGTCCAATGCTATCCTTAACCCTGCTATTAGTACTTACTTCTCTTTCTAACAGTTTCTTTCTCTTTTCTGTCTGTCTCTCTCTTCACTCCTCACCGCTCCTTCAATCTTCCGTTGACGTTCGTTCCTCGTTTTATTTTAATTTTACCATTTGTTTGTTGGGTTTGTTTGTTCCCCTCACTACCATTGTATTACGTCTTATTGTTATGATTTCTTCCATCGCTCATCCCTCTCCATTCACCTCTCATTGATTATGGTTTGCCCTCGTCATCAACATTGCGCCACCTACCCCCCCACCCCCCCCCCCCCACCCCCACCCCCACCATCAGCCTGGCAGGGCACTGACCTGATGCACAACCACGTGCTGGGGGACTTGGACCGGTCCTGTGTGGACTCTCCAGGCCGCCGTAGCAGCGTGTCACGGCCTGACGTGACTGGCTCAGACCTGTCGGAAGACTCTGACTACGACTCTGTGTGGACGGCCCACAGTTACAGGATGGGCTCAGTGTCGCGTAAGAGCTGCATCTCTCACCAGAACTAAACCCCCAAAACTACCGTGGTCGTACCGTACCATACCGTACCGTGCTAAACAACACAGTACAGCGCGCTTACCTCTTAACCTGTGGTCTACAAGAAAACAAAACGATTTTTAAGGGTTTTATTTATTTATTTTATTTATTTTAATTATTTAATTGTATTGTCTTTTTTATTTTTGTTTTTTCCTTTTTTTGATTGTCCTCTGTTTGTATGAAAATCTCCCTGTTGCCTTGACCAATCTCCCCTGTTTTTTGTGCCTCCTCTCTTTCCGTAGTTATCAGGTAGCTTGTGTTGGGTAGTGTCTGTTCATTTTTCCTTGAATATACCCCCTCCCTATGTTTAGCCCTGACGTGTTGGGAACCCTGTGAAGGGGGGTTTGGGGTTATGTTAGAGAGAGTTTGTGGTGGTTGTTGGTGGGGCGGGGGGTGCAGGTAGGGAGCGATGGGGACTCTATGTCTGATATTCAGATATGATTCAGGAAGGAGTGTATTCTATTGACCATATTCTCTATCTTAGCTCCTGTTCCCACATATATAACAGCATGCAAATGTCATGGTGACCTTTGACATTTCCTTATGACATAATTAATTAATTATATCTTTTTGGTATTACTATGACTGTCTTATGGCTCTCACCACTGTTGCAGTACCCCCTGCTGTATTTTACACACAGGACACAGCATGCCAAGCAAATACAGCATCATCAGTAGTATTTCTAGTATATAGGTATATAGGTATAGGTATATAGGTATTATATAGGATATGAGATTCCTGTTCCACTATTTCTAAACAGCATGTATGGTTCATTCCCAGGGTGACGATTTAAACTCTTAGCATCAGATTGTACCCCATTCCAAGATACAGGACAATATTCCTTCAGACAGCTAAAAATATATATATTCTCAAAAGCCAGAGAGTTGTCTTTAGCATGCATGCTGGACCTCACTAAGACCGAGTGTCAGACTTGAATATTTAGTATTTAGAGTTTGTATCAGTAAATCTACTGCTTACAAGCCTACATAGAAGTCAGTTTTTAAGAAACATCAATTAATTAGATAAGGTAATCACTGCTCATACTACTCAAAGAAAGGACCATGAAATTATAGTTCTGTGGTTTAAATTAAACAGTCAAGCCTCTGTATTCTAGGACACAAATCTATGTTTAAAACTCAACTGCAGGCAGCATCATGTAGGACCAGGCTATTCCTGATTACATCACATGACCAGTAAAAACTCTAGGCCCTAAGCAGAGGCTAACTGTCTTCAATGCCAGTGTCATCAAACCTGGCAGGTCCAGTCTCTATATCCCAAGTAGGAAACCTTTGTTTCAAACAACACCAATATCCTTCACCACATTTCCTACCTTGCTCTTCCATGCGCTAATAAGAACTATTTTTGTGACAAAGTATTTCCTAGTATCACATTACAAACCCCTATTTTACTGTCCACTTCAAATCAGTCCTCTCTCCCCACCGTTATTGTAACAATATATGGAATATACTGGTTTATGTTATTTATATATTTATAAAGATTATTTGTTTATTGTTTATAAATTATTTTGTATGAGGTATGTGATTTTTATTATTTAATTTCACTGTGTATGTAAATGTTTACAACTGATTTGGTGAACTTAGTCGGTCTCTCTCTCTCTCTCTACATTTGATGAAATGGTATCACTAAAGTTTAGTTTACACTGGATATTGAGCATGGGTTTTTGGGATACATTTTTGCACAATCTCTGTGGCAGAGCATTGAAATGTGTTCAATATGAACAGTTCTGTTACTGTACCCCCCTTACAGGTCTACTAACCCCAGTGTGTGTGTGTATGACGTCATACTGTATGATGTAACCTAGTTATTATGCTTGCCATAGATATGAAGTGTGCCTGTACAGTACAGCTCATCCATAGTGTAAATCTACCATTTCAGTGTTCAGATAGTGTCAACAGAAAGAGAAACCTAGTCTTGCAGGAGCAGTCATGTGCGATACTTATTCATCAAGACAGATGGACATGAACTAAAAATAGTGTCCTTTTTGTACATAGTGGATGTAAATGGAACAAAATAAGAAGCCAAACAGTGGTTATATGAGTATTTGAGCTAAGAATATGACTGTCCTCATGTTTTGTGTTCTACTTTGTGACTGCAGTGTATTCTGGGGTTGAAAAAAACTAAAACAGAGAGGCAGGGTGAAGTGACTGCGATGTCCAACTGTGTCCTCTGTGCGCTCCAATGCTGTATATGACCTGTCCCACACCTGTGATCAAAATGTCTTACCTATTGACCTACCTACAAACAGCACCTACAGAGTATTTGTTATATATATACAGATTGACGTACCTACAAACAGCACCTACAGAGTATTTGTTATATATATACAGATTGACGTACCTACAAACAGCACCTACAGAGTATTTGTTATATATATACAGATTGACGTATATGACAAGAGTTCCCAAACACTGTATCATTGAGTTTTGAATAAATCTGTCATTTGTTAGCTGTTGGTATTTTGGGTGTTTTGTCAAAAGCACAACTTATTTCACTGTGTTGGATGTCACTGTCAACAAGGCTCCAGGCTGAACCATTGGAACAGGAAATGTGAAAACAAAATGGTGTCTTTTCTCTCATGAATATACGCTGTATCCTTGTTGTTTTGGGTCTGCAACAGGCAGTGGTGTGGTGAGGTAAAACCAATGAGGGGTGAACGGATAAGGATGATCTGGATGTAGCCTCTCTTTTCTTCCTTCTGTTCTTCCTCACCAACATGGCTCCTCTGTCTCCTCTGTCGTTGTGTCTCTTGGTTCTGTGCATGCCTAACTAACCCACAGCCTCTCTACGGTCTCCTGTGTTTGTGTCCTTTTTTGTGTCCATTTTGCTTCCGTTACCACGTAGCCAATCACACATCAGCACCAATCAGAAACTCATTCACTTATGTTAGCTAAACTGCTGTGGGTAGAAGTTGCCCTTGGCTTAGGCACAGATCTAGGATCAGGTTACCCTCCCACTATTCTAACCTCAGCCATTAGGGGTTGGAAGTCCAAACTGACCTTGGATCAGCGTATCTAGCGTGTTGTGTTGTGTTTGGAACAGGGGCGATGCGGAGGGACACAGGGCTGCAGGTCATCATCCCTGGAGAGGAGAAGATCATCGTGGAGGAGACCATGAGCAACGGACAGACTGTGGTCGGAGAGAAGTAAGACCTCCACCTTCCGTCCTCATTCTCTTCTCCTTCCTCTGCTTCATCCTCCTCCTCCTAATCCCCACTTCCTCTCCCACACTTCCTCCCCTCTTCCTTCCTCCCCACACTTCCTCCCCTCTTAATTTTGGTCAGGAATGAGTATCTTGGTAACCCCTGACAGTTTCTGTCATCATGTGCTGGAGGAAATTCCCAAATGAAGATGGTGTTCTCATAAGAATGCTTCTGTTTCTGAACGATTAAGTATTAGTTAGTATGTAGACTAGTGCAGTACTGTGCGCATCCATATATAGTCATGTATTTGCTTCTAGGATGGTATTAACCATGTGTGTTGCGTTGAAGGAGCCTGGAGGATGTAGTGTACGCCCTGAGGGACGAGGTACAGGAGCTCAAACAGGTGAATGTCTGCTCTGTGTCACCATCACACTGGCTTATAACAGGCCTATGACAGCTCATGACCGCTTACGACACCTGACATTACACTGGTATGACGGATGAAGTAGTCAAACTACAACTGAACGCTTGTGGCATATTCAAACTGACCTTTGACCCCTCAACAGGACAATAAGAAGATGAAGAGGTCACTGGAGGAGGAGCAGAGGGCACGGAAAGATCTGGAGAAAGTGGTCAGGAGGGTGTTAAAGAGTATGAACGACCCCACCTGGGACGAGACTAACTTATGAGGTGTGTGTGTGTGTGCATGTCAGAGTGAATTGTGTGTGTGTGTGGGTGTGTGCTAGTGTGCGATGGAGAAACGTTTGTGAGTGTGAATGAGTGATTGCGTGCAGATACGTGGTTGTGTGTGTGTGTGTTGAACTAGGACCCTGAGGTTTTCCCGGTCAGGTCATATGTCTAGGAAAAACTTGTGGCTCCACCTATAACAATGAGGAATGTCTGTGGATCCATCCCTAAACCAACATGGACCTGGAGTCTTCCCTCTCCCTCCCTCCGTCTCTGTTTACAACTGATACTCAGCAAAGCATTACAGCTCTAATGGTACTGTACAAAAACAACTCCTCATTCACCTCTTCTCTACTGTTATTTAATTACTATGAAATCTATCCATTTTGATGTCTTATATTTCCATTGTCTTGTGGTCTTCTGTGTAAGGCCTGGACTTGTGGCGGCCTGCCTTGTGGTTGGGCCTTGTGTGGTCATTGATTGGTGGGTCAGAAGGGATTTGTACAGAAATGGACTGGCTGGTATTGGTACTGACTGTAATTGGTACCTTCTGGGATTGGTACTGGCTGGTATTGATATTGGTACTGACTGGTATTGGTACTTGCTGGTATTGATAATGGTATTGGTACTGACTGGTATTGATACCTTCTGGCATTGGTACTGGCTGGTATTGATATTGGTACTGACTGGTATTGGTACTGGCTGGTATTGATATTGGTACTGACTGGTATTGGTACTGGCTGGTACTAATATTGGTACTGACTGGTATTGGTACTGGCTGGTATTGATATTGGTATTGGTACTGACTGGTAATGATATTGGTACTGACTGGTATTGGTACTGATTGGTATTGATATTGGTACTGACTGGTATTGGTACTGATTGGTATTGATATTGGTACTGACTGGTATTAGTAGTGACTGGTATTGATATTGGTACTGACTGGTATTGATATTGGTACTGACTGGTATTGATATTGGTACTGACTGGTATTAGTACTGACTAGTATTGATATTGGTACTGACTGGTATTGGTACTGATTGGTATTGATATTGGTACTGACTGGTATTGATATTGGTAATGACTGGTATTAGTACTGATTTGGTATTGATATTGGTACTGACTGGTATTAGTACTGACTGGTAATGATATTGGTACTGACTGGTATTGGTACTGAATGGTATTGGTACGCTTTGATGTAAATATGAACACTGCTGAGGTATGAAATAAAATGTGTTTTTAGGAGGTTGACTCCAACCCTCGTCCTTGTACTGC